CCCTGCCGCCTGGCCCCTCGTGCCCAGCCGCACACCTAACCCCTGCCGCCTGGCCCCTCGTGCCCAGCCGCACACCTAACCCCTACCGCCTGGCCTCTCGTGCCCAGCCGCACACCTAACCCCTGCCGCCTGGCCCCTCACCCTGCCAGACACTTAAGCCTGCCGCCTGGCCCCTTGCACCGGCTGCCTACCTCTTCTGCTTGACAGTGATGCCCTTCTGCTTGAGCGCCTTCTCGTTGGCCATCTGCAGAAGCTGGATCTCCTTCCGAGAGAAGAGCCGGATGGCAAACGCCTTCTCGAGCAGCTTCTCAGGAGACACCATCTTGGCAATGTCCTTGACAAACGTGCGGATGTCCTGCCTCACGTTGTCCGAGTCGGGGGGCTGCCCGGCCCTCACCTTGTGGAAGAACTTGAGGATGGCCAGAGCCACCCGGTACAGCACCTTGTAGCCCTCGACCAGGAAGACGTCAAAGACGCGAGCAAAGTGGCCGAGGGGCAGCTCCGCGAAGAGCCAGCGCTGCCAGTCGGAGTAGACCTGCAGCACGTCTTCCGACATAGCCACCAGCAGCTTGTGGGCTGCCTGGCAGTACTTGTTCACCAGGTCCCCAAAGGTCATGCAGGACGACTCGAAGGCCAGGAAGCTCTGGTCAATGAGCTTCCTGCCGGGGTCATTGCAGGCCAGCATGCGGCAGGCCTTCTCGAAGCACTCGGCCTCGTCGAGGCTGTAGTGCAGCAGCAGGGCCACCACGGCCGGCAGCGCGGGGCAGAAGGAGATGTCGGGGAACTGGTTGGCGATGCACAGCAGGATCTTGCGCACAGCCCCCTCTCCCCGCGCGTTCAGGCAGTAGCTGGGCACCTGCGTGTTGTCCACAAATTCGGGCAGGGGCAGGCTGCTGCTGCTGTGCTTGCCCACAATCTTGCCCACGATGTCGCTGTAGACGCTGGCGTCCGGTGTGACTGTGCGGCAGGGGATGTCGCGGATCAGGCGCTGGTACATCTTGCTCCGCAGAGCGTGGCTGCGTGCCCAGGAGCCCTGCCGTGCCAGCTGCTTCAGTTCCTGCAGCTCCGTGCAGCTCAGCTCCTTCGGGCCCAGGTCCTGGATGGCTGCATCCATCTTGTCTCGGTCCACAAAGCAGTTGTAGCCCAGGGAGTCCATAATTCAGGGTGTGTCCACGAGGAGAACCCTGTGCTGCTTGCCGGGGGCATTTGCCCTCCCCCTGCAGGGGACCAGAGAGAGGCTAAATCCTGCAGCCGTCTCTCAGAGGACTCTCTGCTGCCCCATTTGCCATCTCACACCCTGTAAAATTAAAGAAAAGGCATTTTTTTAATACACTTGTTTGAAAGGTCATGTGATTTTCTGAATTGTGAGGTTTATTTCACCCTGGAATTAAGTCTGAGCGCCTTCCAACCTAGGAGGCTCATCCTCCAGTACTATGTCAGACAATGTTCTGTTGTGACCCATAGGGTTTTCACTGGCTAATTTTCAAAAGCAGATTGCCAGGCTTTTCTTCCTAGTCTGTCTTAGTCTGGAAGTTCTGCTAAAACTTGTCCCCTCTGGGTGGCCCTGCTGGTATCTGAAATCTCGGTGGCAGAGCTTCCAGCATCATAGCAACACGCACACCACTGCAGTATGACAAGCTGCCAGCTGGGTGGGCCGCATTTAAATGGTATTAGAAGCCCCTGGATGGTGCAAATGGTTTAAGGGCTTGACTACTAGCTGAAAGGTTGGTGGTTCAAATCCACCTGGGGGCTCCTCGGAAGACAGGTCTGGCAATCTGCTTCTGAAAGACCACAGCCTTGAAAACCCTATGGAGCAGCTGTACTCTGACACACGTGGGATCGCCGTGACTCAGAAAGGACTTGACAGCAGCTAACGACAACTGTGAGGAAACACCAGGCAGATCCAAACTGCACGGAATTCCTCGAAATCACTCGCCTGGGCTCTTCAAAAGCTCAAGAACCTGTCAGTCCAGGAAGAACAGAGTAACTTCCAGGCCGCTAACTGCCGAGAAAAATCACTGGAGGAAGAGGAGGTGTGGACAGAGAGGGAGGATGCTGAGGTAAATGGACGAAGCCGAGGATGCCAAAATTAACCTTTCTGGGTATCGGGGGACTCGGGGTCCCCTCTCCATCATGGGCAACTACTGAGACGCGGGCCAACAGAAAAGAAACGGGCGGGATGTGCTACTGGAGATGCTCTGGGCAACGGTCTGCTGCACGTGGATAGGCAGCGCGACAGAAGTCAACCGTTTAAGAGACAGCAGCCTGCCGTCTGCTTTCCTGACGGCAACCATCCTCAGCACAGAGGTGTGCTCAGACCCACCTTCCTGCCTGGGATGGTACAAGCACCCGCCGATGTCACAGGAAGTCTGCTTCAGTGAGTTTGGGTTAATGAACAGATCACTTCAGTTTCTCATGCACCTAGGGTGTCCATCTAGAAACAAGGAGCAAATACTACTTTACACCATCGAGCGGACAGTGAAGAAGCGGAGTGTGAAATCCACGCGTGAGATGATGTCTGGGCAATGCACCTTGATCCTGTTCCCACAGGTGGTTCCCCAGAGCAAACACGGACTAAAACAAGGCCTTCTGACTACATCCATTTAGTAGGTCCCACTGCAAAATCCATGCCCATGGCAGGGCCAGGCCTGCTGCTGGGGCAGGAAAGGGCCTTTCAGGAGACACGGAACCCCGGTGGCACCTGGCTGGTTTGCTTTGTCCTGGGAGGGGAGGCAGTGTGGGTTTCCTTCCTCCCCTGGTTTGAAGGCCAGACCCACGGGCCCAGTCGGCATCCCCACAGCCATCCCAGGCCAGCCGTCTTCCCTGTGCAAAATTACTTACAGTTTCAATTCTTCCTTTTAGGCTCAGGAGCCTAACCCCTGCAGGGGCCAGGCCATCCTGCCTTCTCAGGGCAATAAACATGTTTATGGCCAGAACAGTGCCAACGCTCCCTCAGCTCACCCCAGACTGGGCTTGAATATTAAACCAGAAGCTCCGAAAGCGACCACGGCACCTTGTGAAGTTCCTGCTGAAAGAACCTTCAGAAACAGCGACCTGGGATTCTGCTTGCTCCAGTGAGCGGGCCAGGGACGTGCTGGATTCGGACAGCCAGCCAGCCAAGGCAAGGACAGGCGCAGAAGACCCTGCAGGAAACCTCTAGGCCAGCCACCCCCGGCCTCCTCCCCAAACCCCCACCCAAAGAGAGAGCGTACCAGGTCTGGGGCTGCAAACCAGACTCATAACGATCTCCTTAAGGCATCCATAAAAACCAGGTCTGGGGAGGTTGTCTTCAATTTTGTTTTTTTTAATTACTATACAAATGATACCTGAACGAATAGTCACAGAAAAGTCAAATACAACAAGACTGGAAACGGTAACAGGCAGGAAACGGACAGAAAACATACCATCCCGTTTGAACACTCACGGGGTGCACACTGGCGCCTTGGAGGTAGGTGTGTATAGCTCAGGTGACGCTCTCCCGTGAGCCCACCTGCAACCTCGCTGCTGCTATACAACATGGCTCCCCAGGTCCTGTTCCCACACAGCAAACAGGGCTTCCTGGCTCCTGGCAAAGGTGCCGTGCCCAGGCAGGTGGGGAGTCCTCTCCCATGCCTGGAGGTGGAGTGACCCAGGGATGCTGCAGGCGGACGCGGTCCCATTTGGGAGTCAGCCGGGCCTGGCTTAAAGTCCAGCCTCCCCGCCTGTTTGCTCAGCCCTTGAACAGGCCAGTCACTTCCCCGAACTGCAGTTTCCTTGTCTGTAACGCGCAGCTAATAAATCACACCTGCTCACAGGCACACGCTCGCGGCAACGCCAGTGCGGTGAGCCCCTCCTAGAACACAGGGCTGCACTCTGGGCAGGGGGAGGAAGGCAAGCATCCAGCCTGCCCTGACAGGAGACGGCCTAGGTGCAGGCGCATGTGTGCACCTGTCTGCGTGCACGAGGGTGCCGTTCTCTCTCTCCCACGCCCCCTCTCCTGCTTGGGCACCCCCGGAGTCCGGCTGGGCCCTCCTGAGGTGCGTCCTGCTGTAAGAGCGAACTCTCACGGAAAGCCACTTTGCTTGGGCCTTGGGGCGTGAGGCCATCATTTCTCCCCACAAACACTGCCAACGACCTGTGGCCGGCCTCACTGGGGGCAGTGCGCGCTCAGCGCCGTGGGGAGGTGGCTGGCCCCGGCTGCCAGCAGCTGCCCGAATTTGGAAGGAGGAGTAGTACTTTGTGTCTTTTGTCCCCAGCTTTGGGCCTAGCCTGTAATTCTGGGAAAACAGGACAAAACTCTCCTCGACATCCTGTTAGACTAACAAGAACTGCAGAGATGGTGACAATTTCACAAGCAGCGTCTGGAGTGAGAGCTGCTTTGGTGAGGGCAGTAGGGCGGAGCTCACACACAGCGGACACCGGAGCTGACGGGACGCGAGAGGCTGGGGCACGTGCAAGCACTGGCTTGGCGGGAAGAGCGGGTGTCCACAGTGGCCGTGGCAGACTCAGAGACTCAGTGAGCGAGGGGAGCAGCGCGCCAGGGGAGCAGCGCGGAGGCAGGCAGACGGGGCCAACAGCACATGGGGAGGAGTTGGGGTTTTACTCTAAGCTCAGTAGGAAGCAGGGAGGGATGCCATCCAGCGTGGGTGTTTAAGGCCTGACTCCAGCCCATTGTCTGTGAGGATTAATGGAGGCTGCTTACAGAAAGCGCCCGGCCCAGCCTGGCACGCTGCGGCAGCTCAGGTGTCCTGGGGTTCTGTCACTGCTCCGCGGGGTCCCCTGCCTGGCACACGGGGGATGCTCAGGCCTGTCAGGGGCGGTGGGGTCCCAAGTCCTGTGGGGGAGGCCCGAGAGCACCCAGGAGGCAGTGAAGCTGCAGACATTAGGGCGGCACAGTGGCCCTGAGGCCCCGGAGACCAGAACTTACCTTCTGGTGATCGTCCCCAAATGGCCTCTTTCAACAACATGCTTCCCTTGCCACCCCCAGGCTGCATCTTTTTCCACCCCAGAAGCCTTCTCCGGTGAGCCCCAAGTCACTGCTCCTCACAAACGTGAGAAGGACGGGCAAGGCCTCGCCCTGGACCGGGACAGGATGTGTCAGCACCTGCTCACCAGAACCCCCTGCCCCACCCCCAGGGTCACCCAACACAAACTCGCAGCTGGGGCCACTGAGCCTCCCATTCCCTCAATTCATCCTGACAACAACCCCATGCTGTGGTGTCTGCGCCACTTGACAGGTGAGGAAGGGGACAGACAGGGACCAGAGGGTCCCCAAACACAGGGAGAATCAGCCCTGGTCTGCGGGACACCCCCCATCACGGCGTGGCTCAGGGCTTCCCCGCGAGGCGGCCACCAGCCAGCAGCCACCTGCACCCCACGCCGCGGCAGGGGTGGGGCTCGGCTCCACAGCGCCACAGCGATGTCTCAGGACACCGCTCTGTGTCCCGCCTCTCAAGTGGAGGATGTGGTTTTCAGAGACATTCAATTCCCAGATGAATGTGACAGGAAACTCCTTCACGTGACACGCGGCACATCACGTCAAGCCTCATCCCAGTTTAACCACCGCCAGCACCGGCCTGCAGCCTCCTCCTGCCCAGCCCTGGCCCAGTTCCAGCTCCCGGCCCAGACTTCACTCCCTCAGCACGCTGTCGCCAGGCAGGCCAGGAGGAGGCGCTCTCGCGGAGACTGGTAGTCACAACAGCACGGGGTCAGGGCCGTGCGGCCGGCGGGTGATGACTCTGAGCAAAGCCCGCGCAGCTTCTTCCCAGAAGAGACGATGGTGCCGGGGACAGGGGCACGGGTGGGCGGAAGGATGTGGAGGTGAGGGAGAGCAGGGAGGAGCCCGAGCGGGTGCCCTCGAGATGCTGGAGTAGGTCGGGGGCGAGGGCCTGCGTGCTGGCAGGGAAGAAGAAGGTGCTGAGCAGATGGTGAGGCGGCTGGCTCTGACTATGGGGGCCACGGGAGAAAGGAAGGCAAGAGTCCAGACAGGCCGTGCGGAGCCCTGAGGAGGCTGTGCCAGGGACGCAGCGCCTCGTGGCGGGGGCAGAGGACAAGACCCTTGGCAGATCCTGGGGGGCAGTGAGTGAACAGAGAAGCCTGCCCAGGGGTGGGGTTTCAGGTGGGCAGGGCAGGTCGTCCATTGGGACGCGGAGTTTTAAGGGCCAGTCACCGAGGCCTGTCCGGAGACGAAGCCACCCCCACCCACACCCAGCCTGTCTCTGGCCTTCTCTTCAGTCCAGGCCACTGTGCTCCCCAGATGATACCCTGACCCCACCCCCGACATCACGAAGGGGCCCCCACGGCCTCCCCCAGCAAGAGGCAGCCCTGCCCACGACCCTGCCCACCCCACACAACCCTACCCTCAGCAGGGCCTCAGAACAGCGCCCAGCCCACCATCTGT